GTAGTAGTAGTAGTAGTAGTAGTAGTAGTAGTAGTAGTAGTAGTAGTAGTAGTAGTAACAAATCAACAGTCAATGCAGTTCATTTGGGAAAACCTTGACCCCTTCATAAAATGTTATTCTTTTGTCATTTGTTAATATCAATGATGCACCCATCTACTAACCATTCATGGGGTATTTTAACATTTCTGTTGGAAGTTTTTCCTGCTCGTTTGTAAGAAAATGAAATATTTTTTTGGAACAGAAGGAAGAATTTTTGTAATAAATAAATAAATAAATAACCAGAGTAATGCAGCTGGGGTTTAAGTATCGATGCTCGTATTAGCTGCAGCTGCACCCATGAACCTGGAGCTTTTCAACCAGTGACATCATAACATATAAGCATCCACGTCTTCCAGGCATTGACTTAAGAAAACACTGTGCATTCTCTTTTATGTTATTTTATTTTATTTTTTGGACTGATTAAAGATTTAGATGTATTCGGTGCTTTATCTTCACACAGTTGAACACTTTAGGAAACACACTTATTCACCTTCCTTAATCAACACATTAAGGGTTAAGAGGTGGAGGTGGGCAGGAAATCTTCCAGTTTAATAATTTTATTATTAGTTACGCAATGAGACATAATTTGTTTATCAAGAAAATTTCACTGCACTTCCTTCAGACAAAAATCAATACTTCTCAATTTGTATGAAAAATAAACTCTGACTGCAGGCTTTTTGTTCTAATAGAATTAACAAACATAACTCTATCAATATGATGAACTACAGCTAAGAAAATGAAACTCACTATTTTTTCTACGCTTTTGCTATGCCTGCCTGGTCATAATTTACTTTCTTTTGTTTTATTAAGATGAGTATGCATCACTGGTGCATTTTAAAAAGCAGTTTAATTTAGGTGCCCTGTAACACTTTGCATATTTCTTGAGTATTTTTAGCCGGCGCTATTTCACAGTGCAGCTCCTCGGCTGTTTAGTGAACACAGACACTGCTTGATTATGTTGTGATTATTCCCCTGTGGAAAGAAATAAGACATGATGAGGTTTTATTTCTCATTATGGAGCTGAATGATTTAGCTTTTTGCTTTGCTGCCTTTAGAAATAACCCGCTGTGACTGACTAAATGRCTCATTCAGACGATCTAATAAGCTTCACGAGTTTTCTATTCAACTAATCAATGTTTTCCTCTTGCTGTTTTTCTTCCCTCCCAACCCCGCTGCTCTAACACYACTGCTTCATCATCTGTCTCCACAACCACTCATTTGCTATCTATGCAACTTGTGCGCCCCTCTATTATCCACCTCCACCTCCAAACAACTGACTTAGGCGGGCCAGTGCTTCTTCGCCTTCCAGAGATACAAGCTGGGGGCCGACTCAGCCCTCTTCTCCCAGGACTACACTGACCCCAGCCAGGACGCAGCCGGAGCCCCCTACACATCCTTTGGAGGGGATGACTTGGAGAGCCCGAGCGGTGGAGGGGCCCAGACGAACAGCGACGGGGCCTTCGATGGCACTGGAGGCTACCAGCGTCAAGACTACTGAGATGTGTCAGGTTGTCTGATTTCCCGAGAAATGCCCCCAAAAAATTCTAATTTCAAGTCGTTTATGTTGTTTCTGTCAAACGGAAAGTCGTTGAGTCAAAACCGRGACAGTTTTCAGTCACCACTAAGCCAAGTGTACCCAGTTCAAACTTTGATTTAATGACAGACATGTTATTAAAATGATTGTTTTAAAAATGTGATTGTCGGCAACAAAACATGACTTATTAATCTGAATGGAGACATGCTTTTAAATCCTTCATTTTCACATTGAAATCATTAAGTTGGGTTCTATGTAAAGTGGAACTGCAATGCTTTGGTATAAATTCCTCCCTATTGTAGCTCCACAAGCCCCTCTTTCACCCCTTTTCTGGTGTATCTCAGATCAACTCGTTTTGATGCGGTCTCTTTAAATCCAAACGAGGCGCTTCAAACCACCCCCCCACCCCACCTCCATCTTCCTGAGCGATCCATTTTGATAGAGGGGTTTACGACTATATAGCGGTACAGAAACATTTTATTCCCAAATAAATAAAGAAAAAGATGTCAACAACGKAAGACTCGTCCACCCAGCCTTACATGTTGGAGCCAGAGGAGAATGAAGACAGCCAAATTGTAGATTTTGCATGACACGTCCCCTTTAAGTCAAAAATCTTGAAGATATTTTCAGAAACAATCTCTGTTATGTTTCTGCGCTAAAATGGAACATGAATAGATTCAGCAAAATCAGTTGGAAAAGGTTGAGTTTGACTGAAGGTGTTGAGAACTGATGGGTGTTAAGGAAATTACTGGCAGATTCAGAGGTTTGGGGAAATGGTCACCCTGTGGTCGATCAGTTCTTGTGACCACATTGTTTTAATCATCTGAGGTCAGTCAGCACAATGACTGTGATTAGTGTTGTTTGTAACACTCACATACAGAGTAGATAACAGATTTACGGTATACTGATTGTGAGCAGATGTCTGTTTTTGCTGACAAAACATATTAGCGTRTTACAGACAAGCACGTTTGGCAACAAGACTTTTTTTTGTGTGTAAAACCAGACGTGTGTTAATGTGTCTGTCGAAAGATCTGTTTGTTTTATTCCCTAATGTGTGAATGTGAGACAGTGTGATATTATGTTTCTCTTTTGTTCTGTTCGATTGTTGCCTTAGTGCTGACTGCCAAGCAAAATCCAACACACAAGGGTATGAAAACACTGCAGTTCTCTGAATCTCTCATTTTAAACTCTTAGCTTTAGTTGAGTTGTGCACTGTTTTGGTCTAAAAGCACATGAAAACTCGAACAAAATCAAGCTTTTGTCCATATTATGCAACATCTCAAAAACCATAGGAGTCAGTGTCTTATACTGAAAACCTCCTGTTGTGAAGGATTTTGTTGTTTGTCCTTTCTGCTTGATTTTAATGAGTCTACAAATGAGACAACAAATCTGAGTATTTATGAACATGCAAATATATGCCAATCTATAATTCATTATATTTAGTGTTTGACAGAAAGATTTTGCTTTATTTTATGGCATTATTCTAGTTCTGTATATATAAAAAAAAACACTTGAAAGACAAATTAAAGACGTTATATGGTCTGTTGAGTGTTCATGTGAGTGAGGTCATTTGTGCCTCATTTTTATTTTCTGTTGCTTTCAGAATAGAAAGATGTTTTTATTTTGGGATAACAATTGAAAAACTATAAAAAAAAACAAGTGACCAAAATACAAAATTATACATACAGTAATACATATAT